AATATAATATAATATAATGTAATATAATATAATATAATTAAAAATGCTCGTTACTAGCCATCAATAAATGTAATTAAAATTAATCAATAAATATAATTAAAATATTCTAGGCAGTTAATAGAATTAAATAATCTATAGCACATACTTAAGTAATAATAACAAGATCATTATTTTTAGATCTACATTTTTATGCATTTTTATATTTTTACAAACATCACTAGAGAAATGGGATACAAATAAAAATTTGTTTCGCCTATCAAGTATTAGAATGAATGCTCTACTTTTTAGATATTTTATATATTTTTGCATATTTTGTATATTTGTAGTTTAATGATATCGGTATTATATATTTTTGTATCAGTTGATGCAATATTATATATTTATATTTCAAGCCATCATTCGATAGAATTTACGAAATATACTAATATTTTTATGCCTTATCTTTTACGCATTAAATTTGCGAACTTAGTCGTTTTCAAACACAATTGTCTTAATTAATATTTCTTTTCTTTGTGGAATATAAAAGTCATGTTAGTCTATAGTTATACAAAATAATTCCAAAAATATGGAACGCAAAAATGTTATAGAAGTATAAAAATACTTTTATGATAAGTTTGGTACTTTACTCACAATATAGTAACTCATAATCTCCGCTATTACTACGTAAATATTGTCCGTCCATTGACCAATCCAAATGAGTTATAAAACTCGAATGTCCCTGAAACAAGATTTTATCATTTAAATCAAAAATAAATATCTCTTATTTTCATCTCTCTCTTTCTCTCTCTCTCTCTCTTTCTCTCTCTCTCTCTCTCTTTCTCAGAGAGAGATAGGTATATATCTGCTGCGAATAAAAAAAAAGATGATAGATGATAGACATTACAATAAAATTACTAGCTTCGAAGCAGCTAGAAATGACCGAGTTTGCAGCTGTTACTATGAAACAATTTGTGCAAACAATGACTACCATGCGTGCTTGAAATAAGCAATTTCGAAATATCTGCCCGTATGCGATTATAAATAGCTATGGTAATATTGCATCATTTTTAGAGACATTATACCGTCTATAAAATGATAAATTTTTACTCATAATAATTGTATTATATAAATAAATTCATTTAATCATTTTTATATAAAATATGATAAATATGTATATTCTATAAATCTTTCTTAGAAATTATTAAACGAAAAAAATTACACCATCATAACTTCCATTAAATTTATATTTTGTTCTTTTTTTGAAAAATTTATTAAATTATTTTTATGAAATTGCGGAATGATCGTTCATATAATGTCTCTTTTTCATTCTTTGATCAACTGAAAACATGTCTTACACCACGTCTGCGTATCCGCTTTGGCTAAAAATGAAAAAAGATTATATATAATATTTATGACTTGATAAGATAATGAAATTACTTTAATCTTAAATAAATTATAATGAAAATTTAGTTGCGTATTGTTATTAGTTTTCTTTTTTCACAAACCATTATGAAAGATAATATAAACCATTATAAAAAATATATGATACGTTGTAATTATGTATAATTTACGAAAAATTGATTCTTATTCGAAATAATACATTACAACAAAAACATATTAAACATATTGTAATTATAACAAAAACATTATAGTTATAATGAAAACATATTAAATATGCATATTAAATATGTTATAAAAAATTTGATAAATTATTGTTTGATAAATAAAATAGACGCTTTCACTGATTTATATCTTAATTTTCATTTTATAGATTCATCAATATCTTATTAGTATAATTAAATATATCCATATATATATTAAACAATTCTTACAAAT